AACTTACACAACTCCATCAGCGCCATTATTTATTATTATAATAATAAGTAGGTGTGATAAAAGACACTACTATTATTGTTTTGAAGATTAGTAATAATCGGTAATCTTCTTTAGAAAATAATAACATTGATCATAAACTTCAAATAATAATTGTAATATTTAAAATAAAAAATTTTTTTTGTGTTGATCTATTTAATATACATGCATGCATAATATATGAATCAAACTTTCAATAATAGTAATTATTAAAAAGGAAGGACATTTAAAAGATAAAACATTTTGTCTTTTTCAGCTACCAATTTAAATATTCTTTTTTTCTTTGTAACCTTTACCAATTTAATGCTAATACTAATAATTCAAGTAATGATTTTCAGTAACAAACAATACTTTTAAATAAAAATCAACAGCATCATTGCTCGCCATTGTAGAGAGGTTGGAACCAGTCAAATAATCTTGATTGGTTAATTATATAATAAATTTTTTTTTAAAAAAATATTTAAATTTAAAGCAGAAATTAATATTAAAAAATGCTATACAGTAATAGTACATTATATTATGGTGTCATTCATGAAATACGTCCAGCCATTCGTTGTAACAAGGTTATATACTGTATAAAGTCGGCTCTCGATATAAGGAAGAATTGGTTTTGACAAAAAAACTATATCATTATATATTAAAAATCATTACATCGAGTTGAATTTATATATAATGAAAATTCCCAACTTTGTACGATTCACTATATAGTAGGTTCGCTGTATCGAGCGCCAACTGTATGACAATTATAACTAAATTACAATGCTTCAAAGGCTTCAATAGGTGGTAAATTAATTTAGTTGTATCTCAATTCACCTACTGAAACAAAAAGTTGCAATGAAAACGGGACGTTTTGTCTGCGCTATTGACTTTTTGTTCGTTCGTTTTGAGTGATTTAAACCTGACTAATCATGATATAATTAAAACTAAAGGTGATTTTCGATTGAATAATCCCCACAAAAATTTGCCTTTTTGGGGTACCCTTTCGTAGTGGTAGCCTAATAAGTACAAACAATACAACAGTTGGATAGATATGCGGGATATATGACAATTTGTCGTTTTGACATTTTAAGTTAATGGAAAATAACCCTTCAAAAAATCTGATTTTAATTGAATCTTATTTTATAAATACTCGAAATTCAAGGTAAAAAAGAGTTGGTGCATTTATTATTGTTAAACAAATAAAAAAGATTGCTTGGCTTTTTTTTTTTACGCTTACTATAATTAATTGATAACTAAATAAAAAATTTTAACAAACTTTTTTTTGTTTACAAAACAAAATTACCAAATTTTAAAATAAAAATTTGTTATTATTAAGGTTATTTAATGGTGTCCGGAAAAACTGCTCAATTACATGACTGCGGTCCTGACTGTGAAATTTTTACTATAATAAGTTAAAAGGATGAAACTGTTCTTTTGGTTGGTTCTTAAAACAATATTAATAAACCATACATTTAACAAGACTACAAATTTCAATGAACAATATCACACCATTAGTGGTGGTTATGAAAGTTTACTACTCTTCCTGATTCAGAATCAAGCTCCGATAGTATCAATAATTTACAATATAATAATAAATTTTCTTGTACACTTTGGATAAACACATTTCAATTTATTCAATTTCGACCTTATAACGAAGCCGAATCTAAGTATATTACAATTATTGAATGGATTACTGTAATTTACAATCATTTTTAGTGGTGGAACAAATATCAATTTCGCATGCATTAAATCCTCGATATATAATTCCATGTCGTCAAACAATTAAAGATTTACTAATTTTGAATTGAATTATGATAATAAAATATGATAAAAAAATTTAATGGTCTTTGATCAGTTCACGGTCCATTTGGTCTGGGTCGGGTACACTAAAACCCGCTCTTTATTTTGATTGGGTAGAAATATGACTAATGTACCCAGAGAGGAGGACCCCGGATTATCATAATTGAGGTAACATCCATACAATGTTTCATAAATAAAGATCCAATTACAAAAGAAGGCTATTAGTAATAATAAATTTTAGAAAGCTTTACCCAAAATTTTGAAATTTTTTACCTTTTTAAGCATGTAACATGTCAAAAATTAAAAGCTTACCATTGAAAAAACTATCTAATGAAAATCATATTATTAATATTGTTGTTGACTAATTCTTTTGAATCTAATATAATGTTATAAGATAAACATTATACATAATCATTAGAAAATTTACTTAAAATGGAAACTTTCCATATCAGTATATCAATTACTATTTAAAATTTTTTGCTTTCATATGACATAAAATTGCTTTACCTGTTTTGGATATGACTTGTAATAAAAAAATTTTTTAATTTTACCCTAAAATAGACACACCACTTGTTTAAAAAGTCTTTTACCCAAATTTTCATGCAACAACCCTATTAAAATCGGATGTCACTTCAACTATAATAATCCGAGATCCTACCCAGTGGTGGGGCGTTGTAAGAGCCACCATGATTCCACAAAACAGTCATTAAATATTGTGGTAAAACACAATGCGAATTTTTGTTTTTATACTCCAACACCAACTATAGCAACTGAGGTTCCTTGATTCCTTTACAAATCTAAATAAAAATATAAATCTAGCCAAATCTTTAGATGCACAATTGTAGTACCAAATCTTGGTATTAGTGATGATAATGAAGAGGATGATAATAAGATCAATTAAGAATAGAAATATCCATTTGAATTTTATTATGATATTGGTAATCTTGAATGAAATAATTTTAATGGTAATGATGATAAGAAAAGAAGGGAACATTTAAATTTAAATCTGAGGTTAAATAGAAGGTTATTAATTGATGGTCCTTTAAAAATTGGCGGATTTTTAATATGAGTTACATGTTAAAAGATCTAGATATTTGAATCTGGATGGAACGAAAAAAAAACAGTAAAAAAATCCTTTTTTATATCTATAATAAAGTGTCTTTAAATTTTCAAGTACTGTACTTCTTCAAACTTTTTCCCAAAATGTTATATACATGACCACAAAAACCTAAAACTAAAATATAACATACGGCTGTATTTGGTAACCTTTGTGGGAGGGCCAAGATTTGAAAATGTCAAATTTTAAAATGATCAACAATTAAATAGAACCATTGGCGTAATGTTCAGAATGAGATTATGATCCAAGAATTTAATTTAAATGATATTTTAAAGAAGTTGGAGTAATTATATAAATTTGAGTTGATCAAACAGATGACGAAATATTTAATTGACAGTTTTAATGTGAAATCTTATATTATTATAACATTTATGTATGTATCTCAGAGAAATAAATCTCATTAAACATTCCAAGTTAATTTTGTAGAATTACATTGTGAATAGTAGTTTAAGGATCACAAGAAATTTGAAAATAAATTTGAAAAGATTTACTATATTACTATTACTATTAAGAAAATCACACGGAAATACTGATTATACATTTCAAGAACAACTCACGGAAATTATCAAGAAATATTATTCTAACATTATAAATTGTAACATTTCTTTAATTTTAAAGTTTTATTTAAAAGGAAGAATTGGTTCAAATTAAGGGTTCTCCGAAATCAGGGAATTAGATGATTGAACCTTTAACATGTAATAATAAATGGAAAACCGTCCTTATCCTGGTCCTTGAATTTTATATTTTTATAATGATAATAAAACCTACCTTTAACAAGGAATTTATACTAATCACGACTATAATTATTTTCACTTACTTTTCCTTTTCTTTTAGTGGGGTAATACTTAACTTAGCAAGGTTTGGAAAACGTGCCTGACTTGAGTAGGGAGTAATGGCGCAAGAGGGCATCCACCAAGAAACATGGTCTGAAACCTAGGAAAGATATTGTTTAATGAGGTATTGCTTAGCAAGGAATTGTTTAATGATAGTAAAGGATAGTTTTGAAAGTAAAGCATAAATATACATGCACGGAAGTTGTTATTACGTTTTTAGCATAAATCATTAATGTAATAAATCTATTAATAAATTATTGTTGTCGAGATCTCACAACATAACAATCACTCTTAATCTAGAGAACAATAATGATGATGACAAAGATTATGATTGTTCCAAATTGGAAATTGAAGAATTAAATCACAATCAAAAGATTGATGATAATGTTTCACAAATAATGATAACAGCTATGAAGATTATGAATCAATTTTTGAAATTAAAGAATGAATTCCAATCTCATCATGGAAGGAAGAAATTCAGAAAATTATGGATACATTATATTTGGATAGGTTAATTAGCAAGAATTCAAACCTATTTTCTAAGTGATAAAAATGCTTGTTCAAACATTTTAGTTAGTATAACAATGGTATCAATGAAGCTATTTTCATTAAGGTATGTAATTTATTGATAGAGAACCCCACTTTTAGAGATGATTTTCAAAATTTTATAAATTAGTGTACAAGCTTAGAAATTATTTTATAAATTTAGAAATTATCTTCATTGGACTTTAATTGGTGTGAAATGAATTATAATAAATTTAGCTAAATACGATCTAATGCATTAAATTGGCATTATGTGAACTGTATTATTAACCCTAATTATTAGTATTAATATATTAATGATTGAAGTGATAATTAGCTAATTATAACATATTGAATGGTAGAAAGAAAAGAATGAGAACGAAATAATAACGGAGTAACATTTATTAAAATGGTCAATGCACGTTAGTATTTCATTTTCCTAATAACCAAATTTAATTAATTAAAAAAGACAGTCATGTACGCACGCGCACATACATGCTTATTATGAGATAACGTAATTTCATATAAAATCTTACAATACATTTTTTCAAACAATTATACTTTGGTCGAATAATTTAATTCTTTAATTAATACTTTCTTTTTATTTCTTAATTTTCTTTTTTTAATACTTTCTTTTTATTTCTTAATTTTTTTATTAATAATTCCTACTCTCTCAACACACACATTCACTCCTTCCTCTCCATAGAAATACAATGGGCAACTGTGTACAAAAAGAGTCAAGTGAGGAAGATGAGCCAAGAAAATATATAAAAAAGCGAGGATCCGACACATTATCAACAACAACTACCAATCAGATAAATACTACTGGTAATAATAATGATGATAATGATAACAAGAACAGCTGTTGTAAATATTGGACCAAAAATACTTTATCCTTCTCCAATACTACAACTCCCAATTCATCAACTTCCTCTCCAAATAATAATAACAATAACAATAACAATAATCAGCCATCATCATCATCATCATCATCATCATCATCATCATCATCATCATCATCATCATCATCATCATCATCATCATCATCATCGCCATCGCCTAAAAAATCTCGTAAAATTATTGATGTAAAATCTGACGTATCAAAATATTCTTTACTACAATCTGGAGAGGATATTAGTACCTTAACACATTATGCACTTAGGTATTTATGGAATAATAATTTCTCAGCACCTGTCAAGGATTTATTAAAATCTGGTGGTCGTTGTGCCCTAGACATTGGATGTGGGTCGGGGACTTGGATATTAGAAATGTCATACGACTATCCATCGACAAGTTTTGTTGGAATCGGCATGTTACCAATATTCCCCAACAATATCAAACCACAAAATGTTGAATTTCTGCTATTTGATAATGATGATGGATTGCCATTTGAAGATAATAAATTTGATTTTGTACATATGAGAATGATGGGATTAGCATTAACGGAACAAGGATGGCCAGAGATGTTGAACGAGATAGTTCGCGTGTTGAAACCAGGTGGATGGTTTGAGTGTATGGAATCTGGAGGATCATACATAAACGCAGGTCCAATTGCTGAACAACTGAACACAGCACGTAAGTGACCAATGCTATTTTGATCCCTTCCCTTTAATTAATTATAATATATCACATTAATGTCCATTCTTATTTTAGGTCATGTATCACTTGACAAATTGGGAATAAATCCAACGATGTATCTAAAATTGCCAAAATTATTAGAAGATCTTTGTCAATTTTCGATTACTGAAGTAAAAGAAAAAGAGATGTCATGTTGTGAACAGAAAGATCCCACTACTGGACTGGCAAGTAATAATACAATTTATGTATGGAGAAAAAATATCTCTTTTGCAATTCATATCTAATATTTATTTGTAATCTATTTCTCTAGATGAGAGAAGTTCATGAAAAAGTTATGGATGCATTCAAGCCTATGATTTTACCAGAATTAACAATAACCGGTGAAGAGTATGATTCAAAGGTAAAGGAATTGATTGAGGTCGAAATGGTAAAATATAAAACAAAAGTTTTATTTACTAGAATCTATTGTAAAAAAATCTATGATAATAGTAATGGTGATAAAGTTGTACATTAAGTGGTGTAAACTATTTTTTTTTTGATTTTTGGAATATTAAAATTTTATTCCCATGAATGAACCTTACTCCTAGACAAATACCCCCTACTACTAACTATTCCCATGATCGGTGAATTTTTATTATTCTTGATTTGATACCTGATTTTTTTACTTTCTATTGTGTCACTATTTATAAAAAGTGATCTTCAATGAACAGTAATATTAATAGTAAAATAGAGATTGGCATAGAGACCTAACCAAAAATGTATTAGTGTTTGAGTTGAATTCTATCGATCATATAATAATAACTGACAAATACTTTCAAATCACAGTGTTCGCAGCCACATTCAATAGAGTCTTCCTGGTCGTAAAGTAATTGGATCATGCAAAGCTTCAAATGTCGTTGCTGACTTCATATAATTCGAAGCTGTATGTTAAATATGTGTTTTACACACTATAGTAATAGTAATAGTTGGCGAAGGCAAAAAATTATGATTTAACTAACATTCAGAAAGCCAAGGTTTATCCGGTCTCTATAAAACAGTTTAACTGAGTCGTGGGTTATTATTAACTTGGCAAGAAAATAGGTGAGTGGTGTAAAAATTTGAATTTTCAATTTCAAATTTCCAGTATCAATTTTCTTGTAGTGTAAATAGTAAATCATGATCAATCATCTTAAAGAGAAATTTGAAAATAACCACAGACTTGGTTTACATCTGTCGATCTTATACATATTAACAGTTAATACTAATATCAATATCTGAATTACGAATAATTATGTTTACGGAATTACTGTGGCCGAAATTATTTAATATTAATTACTATTACAGAAATTTTTAATTTACTCTTGTCATTACCATTACCATTACCATTAACATCACCATTACTATTATAATTGCCATTACTATTACCATTACCATTACCATTACCATTTACGGTTTTCCCATTTGTATTTTCGGAGCCAACTATAAAATTGCGCCAAATCGAATTTTGTTTCGCTCATCTCATGAAGGTTAAAATTTTGAGCAAATTCCTCGAAATGCAAACATTTTTCTCCATGTTTTGGTAACGTATCACGAGGTAATTTCAATAGTGAGTCATTTTGACCTTGAACATTTACTTTGTACATCATCAGCAGCCATTTTTGACATGAGACAAATATTTGTTTTTTAATTGGCATTGTATATTATGGATGATCATTTGATACGGTCATTAAGAAGTCATCTGATATCACCATAAATAGATTTTAATTATTATATATAAGAGCTAATAATTATTTTTCCTGCCTGTATTATTATATTTTAAAAAATTCACAAAAAAAAACTTTAACGCGTTTTATTTACTAATAATATAATATAGAATTACTAACAAATACAAATAACAATGATTCTGAGCAGATTTCTTCAAATAATTCTTCATACAGTTGGGACAGCTTCGTTTTGTTATTCTTTTGCAATACTACCTTCACATAGTAGATTTGAAAAATTTATTTTGGAGTTCACGGTGAATAATTATATTTATTTATTGATCTAATAAATTATTAAGAAAAATTTGTCTATTGATTGATCCGTATGATAATTGTTATTATTTTGTATATTTTCACATTTTAGCATTTAACTATAGTTGGATTACTTTTCTCATTAACTGCTTTCATATTTGGATTATTATATGATATATTCAACTCATCTAGAGGTAAAATTTTGATTATTGTGAATGATTTTGTTTCGATTTTTGATTTTTTCTTCCTGCAATTAATTAACGTAAGATTGATGCTTGTAGTCATATCGATTATTAAAAATTTGTTTATGGTAGTCACTGTACCAGTAAGCATTTATTTAGTTTACATGATCTAATAATAATATGTAATCTAATGATATGGTTTATAATAAACTAATAATTAATTATTATTATTACGATCAGTTAGAGGGATTAATTAGTGTTTTATATTGGACATTTATTCTATACGATGAACAACTTTTACTAGATCCTGGACAGTCAAGATTGCCGATATTGATTGATATGGGGTTTCATTTGATACCGGCTATTTGTTTATGGATTGATTTCTTATTTTTCATGAAAGAATTTAAAAAATCTCATAATCACATATTCTACATATTATTGTTTGCTTTTTCTTATTCTGTCTGGGTCCAATTTTGGTTCTTTCAATATGGAACTTGGGTAACTATAATATCAATAAATTCATTTAGAATATATATATATATATATATATTAGAATTCTACTAATTATATTATTTATTACTTATTTATTTATCAATCACATTTGTGTTGACTTGTTAGCCATATCCGATATTAGCTAAATTAGAAACACAACATAGAATAGGATTTTATGCATGTTGTTCTGTACTTTTTACTGCAATGTATCATATTGGTAAATTATTTTTTTATTTTTATTCATATTATCCTTATTCATATTATTCATATTATTGTTATTAAATATGCATAAATTAATTGGTTATTTGTAGGTGCATTGGCTCATTCATTTTTCAATAAGCCAACAATCATTATTATAAAAGACTCAAAATCAATAAATTAGAAATGCTGGATTAGTTATTAAAGACATTGCTTAATATAAATATTTGTAAATTTTATTATTTAATATATATACATACAATAAATAAATAAACATTTAATAAATAATTGAAATAATTGATAAATAAATAAAAAAATAATGATTTGAAAATTGTCAAGAACTATTAATTAATTATTAACACCTTTTTCGGGGCAACGATAAATACTCTGAACCATGATGAGAATCTACATTGTCGTGACCAGAACAAGAGCAATGGCAATTTTCATCACAACTACATCCTTGAATTGAAGGCAGTCATATATTATCATTTTTATTTGATGGGAAAAAAAAAAAGAGAAGAGAGAATCGAGCGCCTTTAAATATTAAATTTCCTCGTCTCTTTACGTGTATATACCGAGCCAAACCTCATGTTTCTACATTTTATTTTATATATAGAACGAATCAAATAAAAAAAATTTTTTTTGCCAAAGATTTAGAAGCAAATAGTTTTTATTTTTCTGATTAAAATGGTGCTTAGCAATATTTTTTAACGTCTTTTTGCATTCATACTTTTCGAGCGATCACTTACTTCTTGGCAAAATATCTCTTTCTTGAAAATTCTTTGTTATGCGAAATAGGAATGCATACGTACGAGGTCCACACCAAACCTGTTCAAGCAAATACTATAATTATAATCGATTTATTTATTTAAAAAATTAAAATTGGATACCCTAAATATTTTAAAACAATGAGCATTTATCACAAAAAACGCTTCTCGTAACGTAAAAAGTAAAACTGGTTTCTTTACGATATAAAAGTTTTAAGCCTATATATATATCTAACTTCGACCTGTGTTTAAAAAATTGGCAAACATTTCCGAATTTAACAAGTCGTCAGTGGTGGTGACGTGGAATAATTATTTAAGAATATTTAATGCCAATTTGGAATGGAGAATGAAAAAGAAGAAACAGTGTGAGTTATAAAAATTAAATAATATGTATGAATGAATTGAAGATAAACAAAAAAGAACGAAGAACTAGGAGGCGAAGATGAAGGATTTAAGGTATATATATATACAATCACTAATAAATATAACATTGATATTTTTAAGATCTAAAATATATTAAGTAGTTTATTATTATTTAAATTAATTCTTAAATTTTTGTTGCGTCATATCTCAAAACTCTATTATAACGATGATATAAAAGGTAGTCTCGACAAGGTTTATAAAGATTTAACCTGTAAAACCTCAAGGCAATTAAGCAAAAATCGCAACTTCGATTTCAGTTTTTAAGTTTTAAAAGTGCTAAGATGTTGGCACTTGCTCCAAATTCAATTTTCTTTCTTTAGAAAAGTGGTAGCTTTTAGTTTTATATATTATTTTACAATTAAATTTATAAATTTATTTAAAGATCTCAAGTTGGCAAAATTAAAAAATGTTGGGCCAATAATAATAATATTACAAATTTATTGACGATTTTTTACTTAATTACATATATAACAGATCTTATGTAATTTATTTAATAAATATTGTTAATAATAAACAAATAAATGAAATACATAATAAATAAAATAAAAAATAGAAAAATAGAAAATTGGTGAACGCGAGAACGACGAGATTATTGAGTTAGTTATTGAGTGCAAGCGCATTCTGATGCGCTACAGGTACAGCTTGAACCACAATTGCAACTACTGTTTAACATTAATTAGGAGGTAAGGAAGAAATTATAAAAAACTCAATTAAAAATTAATTTATTTCGTGGAAAAAAAATAAACAAAAAAATAAACACCCCAGGACAACAATACTAATTATTGATCCTTTTCTGGGGCAATGATAAATACCTTTCTCCGCATCCTCCATTAGATTTCTGACTATCGCAACCACAACTTGAAGCACATTGGCAATTTTCACCACAGTTACATCCTTGAATTGAAGGCATTTTTTTTATTTCGATGTTTAAAAATTAAAAAGTTTTGAAAGTTTATATTTATTATTATTGTTATTATTTATTTGTTAATTTTTGTTTGATTGTTGAAAAAAAAAAAGAGAGAAGGGAGAATCTAGTGCCTTTAAATATTAAAATTTTTTCCTCATAACTGCATAATATTGATCATATTGACTGATTATTTACAATCTTAACGTGACCACAAAAATGATTTTAAGATTAAACAATTTCCATATTGGTGAAATGCGCGTACAATAATCAAGCAGGGAACAAGAAAATTAATTAATGTTAATCTCTGGCGTCGTGTTTATTTATTTAAAGATCGATTCGTTGTTATTGTGGACTTGAGGGATTTATGCCGTTCAAAATAAAGTGACAATAATAAATATTTCGAGCAATCAAATTATTAATTGTAAAATTATCAATCAGTTAATCAAAATTATTTAATCAGTTAATTTCAATGAAATTAATCATGTCGTTGATTTTTTAATGCATCATTTTTCCGGTTTCGAATTTCCTTCTTTGATGTTATACAATCCCCAACATCACTGAACAATCTTTATCCATAATATTTATGATTATTCGTAATATTTATAATTATGAATATTTAAATATTCCAAAACTCTAATACGCACATATCTCACATATCTTCAATGAATCTCTTTTGGAGAAATAAATAAATTGTACAAGAAGCTTATCTGTAAAATTAATTCTTTTTTTCTGCATATCTTTATCCTGTTTTTTTTTTTTCTAAATGTTGAACAACGAAATCATGATACCACAAGTTTTTTTTTAAATGACTCTTCATCAAACTATAAGTTTTTTATTTATTATTATTGACGGCAAAAATAGCTCAACTTAAGCGCGAATACAATGTGATGTGAAAAACAAATAAATAATGCATTAATGTTTTTATTTTTACCAAAATAGAAAAATGAGCGGTTTTACAAATTAATTAATTTCCTACAGAAAATATAATAATAAACAAAGAAAAACACTGGTTTTTAATTATTACTACTATAGATAAGAAGGTTGCGTAAAAATATGGCAAAATTAGCGCACACATGACATGATTTTCAGCAATTAACATTTAATGAATATTTTTTAAGTTATGCAACGCTCTTGGCGACATCTGTTTGTCAACAACAATCATTCCTGAAATGGATCCCGTCTTAATAGATATGTTCTTGGTAGATTATCATTATTATGATGTCACATTTTTACAAGAAATTATTTTGCTGTTTCATGGATGAAATACTCTTTTAACAAAAAATTTTTTTGTGTTACAACGATAATAAGGATTTTTTCTGTGTTGCGTTATGCAACTTTGACGATCATTTATTTTTTTAGGTTTTATTCAATAGCAAAATTCTCGCTTGACTTTTTCAACCAATCCATTGCCACCTATATTAATTTAATAATGGTGTTAAATATTTAAAATAGATAATTTGTCTTATCTCCATCTTATGAATCTACAAGTTAATTCCACCATTATTTTTAATTAGAACTAAATTATTATTAATGAATTTCAATATGGTGCGCCTCTATTTTATAACAATGTTCTATTTGTTTCATCAAAGTAAACATAAATCTGCATCCCCTTTTCTAAAATAAATAAAATCAATGTTATTAGTAGTGACGAATTAAAATTTAATAAAAGTTCAATATTATTATGATGTACCTTGTTTCCCAACCTTTATACCTTTGAGGAATTGAAAATAGAATAAGAAATGGAAAGGAATATAGCAGTAGTATATGCAGTAATATAAGTAGTGGTGGAAGTAGTGATGGTGATGTTGGAGTAGTAGTAAAATCGCTAGATAGTGAATTATTTATATCGGGTAAAGGTTTAGATGGTAAAGAATAAAAAAACTTGTATCGTTTATTATTATTATCAACTTCTAATATTTTCTTCTACATTCCTTTACTTGTAAATATTATTATATCGTAAATGGTAATTTTTGAAACGTGATTCTTTTTTATTGGCTATTTTTTAAATGGGTTTCTTATTGCTACTATATTTAATGGTCGCAGGAGAATGTGTATATCAACTGATTATTACGTGTATTATGTATATATATAATAGATAGGTTCGTATGATGGATCAGCTTTTAAATGTCACGGGATCACATCTGCAAGGTGTCCGCGTCCCATTTCAAACAGCTCCCATGTATATAATGACGAAAAATTGATAATTTATTACTTGCTTGTATTACACAAAGATAACATGTAGGAAAAATTCAATAAACGATAATTAATATAGGAAGTTCAAAATAAAATTCAAAAGTATTAACATTCTAATAAAAAATTAATAAAGGTATACGTTGAGCTAAATCTTGCAAATTTTAAAGTTTGATTTTCCTCAAGTTGAATATAGACTTGAAATAATATACAATAAAAATCTATGTTTCTATTATCAATTAATAAATAAAGTATTCATAATCAATTAAAATAGTAGTAATGATGGTGGTATAAAATTTGATGGTGGTCAAACAATATCTTTTACTGCTTTACGATAATTCATTGGGAAGTTTAACAAAAAATTGTAAATGACCTAAACGGTTGACAATGGAAGGATCGGAAAAATGATACTTGTGAAATCTTTTTGGAATTAATCATAAACTAAAATTTCAAATCACTTTTTATCAAAATCGTTAATGGAATTATTATTACTATCAATTCTTTTGATTTAGCCATATCATCATGCAATTTTCGATTTGAATGATATACCAATGGATGTGATTTTAGTCTTAATCGAGGATCGTTAATAATTATTAGAATCGCTTGTATAATTTTACATATGTGCGCAAAGATCTTACCTACAAAGGAAATAACGTTAC